GGCAGAAATGGTCGTAGAAATGGCGACCGATTGCCATTAATTAAAAGAAATAGAGATAGATAGATTTGTTTATGTGCCAGAAAATGTTTTTACAGATATTGATCTATTGTGAAGTACAGATGTTTGCCTTATATTCTAAAGCATGCAAAATCATTATTGGGTACAAGTTACATTACGTTTAATACATACATACAAGTTGATAATGAAAGTTGCATTAACGTATGGGGTAAAGCTATTAGAAATGTATCGCATGGCATTGACATCACAGCAACTGGTTAGCGTTTGTTTACGTATTTCGTAACGTTAAAGTCGCTGCGTTAATTGGCGTGAAATATTTTACTGTCAGACATTTATTCAAAATTACCTCACTCGATGTTTGTAAACAATGATTTGAATTTATTTTATTTCTTTTTAATTGCCATCATTAACGCTACCTACCTCGTTGATCTTTTGGAACTGTTTTAGTAGAACGATTCGTATAAACTTAAACTAAGGATTTTCTTTTTCTGAAATAGAGGTAACCCTAGGTGTAGGAATACTCAAAGAGTTCCTTCAATTTACTACCTCACATATAGGGTTTTTTTAATGGGTGATAATGGAATGGTAACCCCACCCGCGCCACTGGTATACACCGGCGGGGTACCAGTGAGGGATGATAGATAAGGATGAAGCAGGTCAGTTAGCCCATCGTGACGAATTCAACAAGAATTGTTCACAAAGGTTTCCAGGGGGAACCATGTGGAGGTCGACCTAATAGGGCATATTGCTAGCAATGTCGAACTCCATTGCTAACAATCCCTTTCCCTCACATATAGGATTGAACTATTCCTATTAGCTTTTCGCCCGCTATAAAAATGAAATATAAATTTTCTAGATGAAATATAAAGCATACAACAGATTTTAAGTTACACTTACAGGAATACAACTGTGAAAACTACTTTCAATTTGATGCAGTACTTTTTGTAGGATACCGAAACAAACATACAGTGAGACTGACAGACAGACAGGATTTCTAAAAATTATTATTTTAACATTTGTTGATCTTATGATAGTGATCCATGATATGATATTAATTTTTCATAAATATCTCCCAATACAGACATCGTTTAGTTACGATTTTATTATATTAAGTAATATAGCGGCACCCTGCCACCATATCACCGAGGTTTTCCCAAGAGACTACAGCATGGGGTTCTTCAAAAGGGGGGTAAAGAGGTTTCTTCAGCGTCGGCAACGCACGCGTAATACCTCTGGTATTGCAGGTGTCCATAGGCTACGGTAACCACTTACCATCAGGTGGGCCGTATGCTTGTTTGCCACCTCAGTAGTATAAAAAAAAATATCAGCCATTAACTATCCACTACTGAATACAATCCTCTCCCATAAAGTGGAATTTTGCCCGTTATTGCCACGCTTGGCTGGCGGACTGGCCACCGCAATTAAATTTTGGTGATATTTAAAGAGGGATGCTGCCGCCCATCCCTCGACTATTAATTTCCCTTAGTCGTCACTTACGACACCCACGGGAAAGGAAGGGAAATATAATATGTTGTACTATAAAAATAATATATACTCACTCATTCATTTACATCGTTTTTGTATGAATGTAAACTATCTGTGATCTAAATACAACACGGCAAGCATGTGGCAGCTATGCGGCTAACACCGCTTAACTTACTGCGCATACCTCAACAACGGCACATAATTGTTTTGACGTGATTATTATACTGTAACATAATATACATATAATTTCAATGTTATACCTATATTTATTAGACAAAAAATCCTATAAATAAAGAACAAGGTGCGATAAATAAAAAAAATATGTAAATTAATGGGTGCAGGTGGCAGCCCTATTATATTTTGGCAAACGACATTTAATTTTGCACCATATGTCGATTGTCTTAAGAGAGAAATAAATTTGTAAATTGCGATTACGTGGAATGTTTATGGCAATATAAATCATCGCTTTCAAGGCTACATAAATATTCATGACTACAGATAAATGAATGCGTAAATAATGCGATCAATTCGCAATTACTATACAACTCTGCTAATGGGCGGAGTGGTTAATTGATTTGTATCATTTAATAAATTAACATGTCTTTATTTCTTTTTTACTCTATTTTTTTATGTTAGAATAGAATAGAAACATTTATTGTCAGTAAACATACAATTACAATATAAAATATAAATAACATATACAAAAAGTGTCCCATACTAGGCAAAAGGAACCGACTCAGCTGGTGCTGTGAGTGTCCCAGTGCAATGTGAACAGCTGCACAGCGCTGGTTTTCAGCCAGTCCCTCTCTTAACAAAACATAACCAAAGTGCAGGGTACCACTGTAAATTGTTTCTATCTAAAATGTTTCTATTACAATGAAAATTTGGATATTTCATTATATCATTTGTATTTTTTAATGTTTTTTTTTTTTATTATTCCTTCATATTTTTGCTGTTAGTGGTTCGAAAAATATTTGCAAATAAACAGTTACAAATACTTTGGAGTACACCAAATCAAGGTCAAAGTTAATATTTAGTTTAACGATATCCATGGGAAATCTACATACTTTTTTAATGTCCACAAAAAAAATTAATGATGATGAACGATTGCTATTATCCACTTTTTCTGCCACGATCAAGGTCAGTCTAAATAACTATATAAGTATAAATTCAAGGTCGTTTAAATTAACGATGTAGGTAACCAAGCCTTTTACGTACTGCTTGCTTTTGTTTGCTTTTCCAACACAAACTTTCTATTTTCTCTTTGTCAATTCTCTTTGTATATAATAATATTATTATACATCCTAATTTATGTTTAGTTGACATTTAATTTTCAATGTTTTCCTTTTTGTAAGTTATTTACTTGCCTAATATTTAAAAACATCCATACAAAAGCAAAAATATAAGATTATTCTAAAAGTGCTCTATTATCAAAGTATGTTATTTACGCAGCAAGATAAAAAAAAGTATAATTATAAAGCTGTTAATAAAAATGGATTTTGATAGTAAATAAGTGTTTGAAACCTTCCGAAGAAAAATCTATGACTAAAAAAAGACTTCAATTGTGGTAAAACCAATTTTTTTTAATTAAAAATTAATATTTTATGAATTAGATTGATTTAAAAACTAAAATACCGAGTACTGATTCTGATGAAATTTCTATGGGACCTATCGGTTTATAACTAACGGAGTTATGTCGTAACAAACATAAAAAAATTCAACTGAATTGAGAACCTGCTTCTTTTTGAAGTAGGTTGAAAATATGAAATAGGTTCAAAACACATAAATTTACCATTAAAACTTATTCCACAATGAACGTTATCCTAAATTGTTCTATTTAGAATAATGCTTTAGTACATTATTAAAAAAAAAATGTTTGGTTTTAATTAAGACCTAAAACAAAAATATGATAATAGTAATTCAACAACATAAAGCGACAACAAACACTATTTATCATACTATTAAATAAATAGCCAAGTTAATGGATAAACGACAGTTACGTAATAAAATATTCCCTGGTTAAGAAATCAAACCGTTTCAAGTAAAATGAATGGATTTACATTGGAACGTGTATGAAGTGTGGCAATAATACCTTACAAATGCGACCACGAAAATCATGGAATTGGGTCCAATTTACAAATGTTTGAATAGCGTCTCAATTGGGTAAATTAATTTATTAGAAATCTATTGATGCAGAACACAAGGTGAAGTCATCAAGTGAAATTATTACAATCATGTAAAGGAAGTATTAGCGAAACTAAATAATTTGTCTAAACCAAAAATCTAGAATTTACTAATTAGACAGCTGGCTGTTAGGATGGAAGACTCGAAATTTTCTGTAGTTTTTTCTCTATAAATTTTCAAAATAATTTATTTTCAATTTGTATAATAAAATACAGGTTGAAATCGAAATCATTAGGATGCTAATCATTTCTGTTAAATTCAAAACTTCATAGAATATGTTGAGAGGAGATTAAAAATATTAATATCACTCACTAAAGATATAACCAGCTTTGATAAGCATTCTATACTAAATAAAGAAAGTTGAAAAAAAAAGCATATTGGCTTCACGCTTTTTTTGAGATGCTTCTGTATAAAATTCTGCCAATTTCCTTTTACATGATATAATAACCTGAGAACGAGAAAGGAATGATAGTAAAAAAAAAAACTTTTTTGAGTGTAAATAATCTCATATTGTATTGAAGCGTGCGTTAATTTAGACGAGTATATCAGATTGAGTTGTTTAAAATTGTGTTATCTAAAGTTTACAGAGTGATATTAACTTATCATGATGATAAAATGGTACACCCACTACGTATCTTGGACCGGTCAGAAACTAAACAACGTGCTACGTAATATACGCTACGGTTATACTCATACGTGCATTAATAAATCAGTTAATGTTTTAATATCATATAATATAGAAACATATTTGACATATTAAATTAGTTATGTTTTATAAAAATGAAATATCTACTAGGAAAGGTTAAATATTTTTAAACATTGTCATCAATTCAAGTATCGCGTTAAAATAAATCTTTTAATGATAAAAAAATATTTTTATATCTATAATACTGTTTACATAATACTTTCTTTGCTTTACTCTAATCTAATTAATTTATGGTTGTAATTAATTAGAATGGTAATTCAAAATTTGATTCGAAGAATTCAGTATTATTAAAAGAAATCAAGCGCCTATAAACAATGCACCATAGACGAAACAGAATATAGTGTGATGCTCTTAATATCTCTTACGCGTGACTATTTTTAAGAACTAAGGTAATATGCCTCCGTACTCTGTAATTTCACTGCCATATCCCACCCTTCAAGCCGTAATACATAATTATAGTATGACGTGACCTAAACAGTAAAAGTACGACCGAATTAAAGTGCAGTCTACTTTTTAAAGTCAGTATAATAATAGTAGGTATTTTTAATATAGCTCTAGAGGTGTCAGTCTAAATCAATTCTACGTTCCAAATATTTGCGATATGTAGAGATGGGCAATCCACCTGGGTGGGTTTAAAGTCTGGTGGGTAAAAACCGGGTGTTTTGGGTTTATTGGGTTTAAACCCCATAAACACCCAAATTTTTGGGTGTTTATGATTTTGTACTTCATCATCGTCATCTCAGCCGCAAGACGTCCACTATACTGGACATAGACAATATTATTATGCAGCCTACAGAATAAAAAACTTTTAATTTGATTTTGAGTTTATTAAGAAAGAGATGAAAGTAAAATGTAAAACTACAGTCAATCACTGTCAGATTCAGAGTTATTACAAGCGATGAATTGTATAGGTTCGATAGGCTCTATTTCGTCTAAACTGTTATGTTCATTTACTTGCTCAATGAAAGCTTCTAAGGTATTTTCTTCATTAAACTGAATGTCCTCGCATTCAGCTTTATGTTTAAGATTCCAGTTATAACAAATGAATGAAATTTTTTCAGTTCTTTCAGTTGTAAGTCGATTTCTTTTGTTATTATGTATGTAGCCTTGGATACTAAAGGAACGCTCAGTGGCTGCCGAAGTACAGGGAGCTGATAGAATACGAATCGCTACTTTGCTTAACTCAGTGGAACCACAAATACCTTTCCACCATATTAGGGGCTCAATGCTATCTAATGAGCTCCATACAAATCCTCTGGCCCAAAAGTTTTCTTTAGCTTTATAACACGCCAAATCTGCCATTACATTTGACAAACTTAAGTGTTGGCTTAAATTGTAGATAAACTCCATACCCTTAAGTTCTTCCTCTTGAGTAAGTTCGACTCCTAGAGTCCTGGGGTCTAGAATATATGCTGCAAAATGTATTGGCCTCATTGCCATATTGCATCTTGAAGATACTGATGTTAGAATCTGCTGTTTGCTTTCTTCGCTCAATGTCGAAATCTCATTTAATGCAAAACGTATCTTAGCTTGTACATCTCTAAATGTAATGTATGTGCGATGCAAACGATTCTGGTCGCTCTCTAAGTAAAATATGCTTTCAGTGACTGGTTCCAAAATACTTATACATTCCCCTGTCTTCGTCCAGAAATCATCACTTAGAATTAAATCTTTAATATCTCTTGAAATTACCACATCTTCTCTAACTGTTAATATTTGCAAAGCTATCTTATTTGCTTTCAAACTTTTTAACGAAGTAACATGACTTCCCCATCTTGTAGCACAAGGCAATTTTAGTGTTTGTGTAGAATCTTCACCCTGCCTTGATTTTATCAACAAGGAACTTAATCGTTGACTCCTTTTAACAGTTTTTATTATATTTATGGCTTGCATAATAAACACAGTTACTTCTTGTATCTTTACAATATCTTGGCACAACAAGTTAAGGATATGTGCACAGCAACCGAGAGGAACAACATGTGGATATTTGAGTTTTGTTAATTCGAATGCCTTTTGTATATTTCTAGCGTTATCGCCAATAAGTACAAGAAACTTATTTGCTCCATACACTTTCATTACTTTTTCAACTTCTTGGCTAAGGTATTCACTAGTGTGAGGATTACTTTCTGTATTCAAACTTTTAACGTATGCAGGTTGAGGTTTTGATATAAGAAAGTTTATTATTCCTTCATTTCTTAAATTAGACCAGCCATCGCACTGAAGGTGTAAGTAACTACAAGCATTTAGTTCCTCATTTAACTCAAAACGCATTTCTCTATATATTTTATCTAAGTATTTTGTCGCTAAAGCTTTACGTGAAGGTATTTTAAATTTTGGTTGCAATTTTTCGAAAAATTGTATCCATAAAGGATGTTGCACCATCGATAATGGCGTCCCTGTTACAAATATAGCTCTCGCTAATTCTGTTTTTATATGATCATCGGTGTCTTGAAACTCAGCATTTATTGTAGTGTTAGCAGACGACGAGGGGCTTATAAAAGAATCATTTGTCTCTATCTCTGACAGTCCAGACATTTTGGTTTTGGACGAGCTATCTTTTATAAGTTTCATAGAGTCTTTTAATGTTTCTGGAGATTTTGGACAAGTGATAAGATGTTGAAGCATTTTGGCAGCATTACTGAATTTGTAGACCTTATTACAAAGCTTGCAAGAAACAGACTTGTTTGGTAAAGTACGGTAGTGCTCCCATATGCGTAAATCTTTAGGTCTCCCCATTGAACCTAAAAAAATGAACGATGATTAGTTGGTCTGACGAAAATTCAACAATAGAGTGCCTATTTTTTTACAATGATTATTTCTTGTTATTTACAATAAATTTATTAAAAAAATAATAAAATAAATACAAAAAACCTTTGTAAAATTACATCTCCTCGGAGGATTAAACGCAGACGCTAGTTTATTATCGTATTGTTCTGTATTTTTCTCAGCAACTTCTTTAATTCGATTAGGTACTTACGCATATTATGTTAAAAATAAATATCTAGTACACATCTTAGGCTATCCACCATTATTATCCAATGACGACTCTCAGCTAACTATGCACTATCATCCAAAATAAACGTGTATGGAAAATTTTATCCCAGTCGGTTGAGGATTGAGGATAATTGCATCAACATACGAACATACCTACATACTTTTATTTACATAACGCAAGCTAAATAAAAGCTTGTAATAATACATCTAATTTTAAGTTAAAATTGTTAAGTGATCATGATATAATTGTATCATTCAAAAATCCACTTACCTTTAATTATTTCTTGTTAAGTATAAATATTATTTCAAATCTGCTCCCTTAATATGCACTTTTTTACTGCTTTTCCTACCTAACACGTTACCAGGAAGTCACGTTACCAGAGTCAGAGTAATAGTGAACACGTTTGACAGTGATTGTCGTCGCCTCATATTCAGCGTCGACGAATAGGGGAATCCCCAGTCATAATGTATTGCATGCGTGGCGGTCTTACTTCAAATCCATAAACAAAGAGATAATTACAGAACTCGATACTAGATGGCGCTGTTTTTGTTTGAAGAAAGTTTGCGGGCTAAAATACATAGAATTTCATCAATGACTTCCACAAAGAACAACATTTCTGTTTTTTCTAAGTCCGTATCTCTTCCGTATATTTCATAAGATATAAGCTTGGGCTACATTGTTATGCAACGTGATTTTGTCGCTGTCTTGCTAGCAGGGTTGACAGATATACGATTTAAATCGTACTCATACTATTATTTGTCTATTTTTTAATGTACGATCGTAAAGATTATGATCGTAATTCGCACAAAAACATACGACTTTTTGGTTACCTGGCAACATTTTTATTATGAAACGAACATGCTCACATCATCAGTCACATGCAACAATTTATTGGGGATTTCCCCTTCACATCTGGCAGTCCTGCTTGCTAGAATATAGGTAAGTCAGCCACAGTTACTGACGATCGATATTTAAAGGGTATTGTTTTTGTGCTAAATATTTCATAAAAACGTTATTTAATACTTTGTGGATTATTAATTTAGTTGATAATCACTGGAAGTAAAATGGATGCTAATTTGAGAGATCAAGATCTTCGTATAAAACAGTTAATAAAAGAAAATCTACGTAAGTACTCTTTTTATACCTAGGTAGGTAAGGTATAATAAACACAAAAGGTACTTAGATCGCGTGTGTTCGAAGCATTTATTCTAATAAATTTAATTTAAAATTGTAGAAAGAAAAAAATGTCTGCCAAGCCGTAGCCGAAGCCGATCTCCAAATATATTTGGCGATAGTGAGACCCAGTGTCCAGATGATTTACCCAGCGTCGTCGCAACAAAGAAAAAAACGAGGATAAAGTAAAAGAAAATTTACTGAAAGAAGAAACAAACTGTTCTAAATGCTTAATTTATGGAGAAGAGGATAAAAGAAATGAGTATTTCGGACTGTTAGTGGCTCAAGAATTTAAATATATACGGCCATGTGTGCGAACGAGGTGTTATGAAGAAATTTTAAAGTATCTACGGGAAGCAAAAGGCCAACATGTTGATCAACTGCAACATGAAAACACTGAAAATTAATTACTTTCATTTTATTATATATAGATTTTTAAAATTTCCTGAAATATTATTAGTTAACGTTTTATTTAATATTGTAGAATTGATCAATACAATTTATAAAAATAATTTATTGGTATTACTTACATATTTTCAAAAAAATACGTAAAAACCTATTTTTTTGGGTGATTATGGGAGTTTATGGGTGTTTATTGGGTTTTTACCAAAGCACCGGGTTTAAACCCGGTGCTTTGCCCATCTGTAGCGATATGACTGGAAATGGCTGGAATTTGTACTCTCGTTGAAATATTTTAGGTGTCTTTCATCTTTCTCTCTCTCTTTCTCTCTCTGTGTGTATGAGTGTGTGTGTATGTGTATGTGTGACTGTGAAATACTGAATACTTGTGTGTAACTATTTGCAAAATCCTCCAATGTTAAACTGCCATAAGGAATGGTCCTGTTCCTTATTACAGTCTAGGAGGTGGTTTATGTTCTGCAGTGGACAGATAACAGCTGCTTACTTGGATTTCGTAATTTCAGTGTGCATACAACGCAAGAATAAAACAAGATTTCATGCAATCCTTACATCTCAATCTTCTTTTTTTATAATAATCTCATCACCGGTTCGTCAGAAAATGTTTTTGTAAGAGACCAATCGTCAAACTCGACATAATGAATGTTATATATTGCAATCAGGTATAGTTTTAATCCTGGCTATAATAACCGTCTAGACTCAATATAATAAACCGGACTACTTTCACTCACACACACACACTTAAATTAAAATTTCGGCTAAATATTACATTTTTAGCAACTTTTACCTGCAACTTCTCCCGAATGACTGGAATATGTTCATTCACCTCAATACAAGATAGTCGTACTTTATCCTAAATAGTATTATATACCAAGTTTTATAACGATTAGTAAAGCCTTCAATATATCAAAAAAATAACAAACATATTCAATTAGATATACATTAATTATATTAAATTTAATGTCTGATATGATTTAGAAAAAAACATTATATTCGCCTTCTGGTCTTGGCATAAAGTGGAGCACGCTTTTCTTTTCCGTGGATGTCGTAAATGGCGACTAAGGGAGGGCGAGGAATGGGCAGCAGCGTCCCTTTTAAAACATCCAAAAAGCCTTACTGCAATTACCAACACGTGGAGACTATTGGCAAAACAACCCTTATGGGGGAGGCCTGTGTTCAGCAGTAGAGATCTAATAGCTGATATGGTATGGTATAAACCAATATAACTACCTACTAAAAACAATTTTATCTCCTCCCATGAATGTTGACACAGTTCGCAAAGTTATTCCCCTTTGTTTAAAGGAGAATAACTTTGCTTAATAAAATATTCATTTTAAAAAGTTACGAATATTTTAAGGAATATATGTATGAATATATTTTAAATTACATTTTCCTCAAATTAACATTTGTAGTAGCTATATTGTGGTTATAAAACTAAATTGTTAAAACATTTTAATTGTGTCAACTTACGCAAGAAAATATGTGAGTGTATACATGCAGAGAATGCATTGTTACGATTTATCTTTTTGTGGTTAAATTTAAATCAAAACAAGTATTTTAATTAAATAATATATATATATATATATATATATATATATATATATATATATATATATATATATAATTATTAATTATTATTATTAATTTTTCTTTTCTTCTAATACTTCTCTCTTCTTCTTCTCCGTCAAAGTAAAAGTATTTACTTCTTAAAAAGAACTTCAGATTTTAAATAATTAAAATTGATTATTATAACTTGTTGAATTTAAAACATTTTTTAGATTAACAGAAATAGATGTATAAATTGAAATTGGAAGTGGAGAATAATGGGTCTTATAAATATTTTTCAAATTAAGTAAATGATAACTTAAAAAAAAGTTTCATATACCGCTTACAAGACGTGGTATTTATAGAATCATCACATATTGGTATTTTTTAAATTAAATGCCGCTTGAATGAATGCATGGAGCATCAAAGAGAAAAGGGCTAATTAAAGCCAAACACATATTCATTTACAGATATTAAACTAATTACTTGATGTCTTTAATTATATTTTTTAATTCTGCCACCATTAGTACGCATATTGTGTATATAGTCACACACTACAAATGGTTGCAGAATAAAAAAATAATAGTTCTAATCAACCAACCAGTGATATGAGCTTCAGCAAAATAACAACTAACTCAGTGAAATTGATATTAAACCTATATACCTAATTTATATATTATAAATATATATATTACAAACCTAATATTCATATGATATTTACAAAAATCTCGTGTCACAGTGTTTGTGATCGCATTTTTCCGAAACGACTCGACCAATTTTTAATGTAATTTTGTATATACATGTATATTTGGTATGTATGAGAATAGGTCGTAAAATTATATTTCATACCGTTAACTGGTTAAGGTATCCCTATCACTAATTTGTATAGTAGTCAGCTAGTTTATTTATAATGATCATTTACAACTATTGATATATTTTAAAAATCTAAATAAACATTGCACTTAAATAAAAAAACAATAATTGTAGTCACGCACAATTAATAATATATATACATGACCTTTAGTCTAATAGTAAGGTTCCCAGATGCTCATAATGCAGATTTTTATAACTATGGATATATATGTAAGTTGACATTTTCCAACTATTTACCTCTTTATCAGACATGTCATTCTATCTAATCAATAACTGATTCATATCAGTACTTATCGCTTTTCGAATGGGAAACTGGTACTATCAAATTAAGAAACAAACCTCTTGAGAAATCTAAGTGATAGGTTATTAATCCTCTGTAACCGTCGCCTATAGACATGAGCAGTACCATGGACATAACAGAGTATACTGTTTCGTCCATGATACCCTCATGCGTTGCCATTCCTGAGGACTCAGGTGTTATTCCTCTGTACCCAGTAAATTCACGCCATATCCCACCCTTCAAACCAAAACACAGCTATGCAAACACAACTGCTTTACCGTTGCAACACGAATGGGACAGAGGTACCCAAGCAATCGACTTTTGTACAAAGTCTCCCTCTGGTTTGTTTAGGGTATTTTTATTTTGCCTTTACATACCGGTTGTATAGGTACTATTTATGTCAAAAGACGACATTTACCATTTTCCATCAGATGGACTAAAATATTGTTTGGCAAACTGAGTTGCATTAAAGAAAAAACATCTGACTATGCCTTATTATGCTAGAAACAATCTTTGCAATTTTGTGTATAGTAATATATATATATATATATATATATATATATATATATATATATATATATATATAGTATAAGAATTACAGAAAAATAATTCTAATAAGAGGGCTAAATACCTACGAAATTAAAGTGCAAAATATTCAAGGTTGGCATTCAAGGTCGCACGTGTCAAATACGAGTACTACACGTGTACTAAACTTTATGACGTTTGATTAAAACGTTAAGGTACCTTGACCCTATGGAGGAATAAAATAGTATCCATTTTCATATTGATAAATACTAAATAAGGATTATTATGAAAGATAAAAGAGCTGCTGTAAGTGTAATCGCGTTACTCAAGAAAATTTATAATCTAAATTTTTCTTATTTTCAATCCTGAAAATCCTTTTCCAGGACCTAAGAAAGAAATCAAGTAATAATGACAAGGTGCCTAAGTATTTCGAAATACCGAAATACTGACCAAATATATATGTACATTTATATATACAATTATATAAATTCGGTCTAACAGCGAATGTACACAACATTTGTAAATTATTGGTCCAATCTTTGTTTAGTGTAGTGCTTACGACACATTAAAACTAAAATATAATTATATTACCATATTATATACTATGTAATACATCCAACTAAAAACTTACATAATACGCGTTTATTTATAATGGACTTCATTTAAATTAAGTAATAATTTATCGTTATTTATTAACAATAAAGCTTTACAATTACAACTTAAACATAACGACATAAAGTTTACAATTACTTGACTCGTCGCTATAACTGTATCACGGTAGTATAAACAAATTATAATAATTATTATAGCAGTTAAAGTAGGTACTACCTAGTATGTATTATTTGTGGTATCTACTACTATAGAGCAATTACATGAAGCAATTTTGTTGAAGTGCCTTCTAATGCGTTTTATTGCCAAATTAATAACAATTGAGAAGGTAATTTGAAAATAATACGTACCTATAGATATCTAATGATAATACAGTATCTTGACGTAACAGCTTAGGTGTCATTTCATTAATATAGTTAATCTGATCTAATTTCGACTAATTTATTAACGTTAATAACGTAAATTATGTAACTTAACATCTAATAATGCCTTACAGAAAAACTATAGAACTAGTGGATGCAGTTCCTTGTGACCATTTCTAAGAGGGGGCTATGTACAGCAGTGGACCACCGACGTCCGATAAATAATGATAGATGTAATTTATATTTAATTAATTATATATTACATAATAACCATTATAAAATAAATTAGGATTAAATTTTCTTTATATTAAAAAATAATCCTTAGATCGTACAGGTTAATTTTATTGGAAAAACTACTTCATAATAACTGTATATATTCTAAGTTCCTAGCATTTCAGTACACAAAAATGCAAGTATTATATTATGTCAAATAAATTTTTAACTATATAAAATGTCATCGGTTACTCGAATCGATCTAACTATTATAAGAATCGAATTCCGGTAGGTACACAATGTTTAATTTTAAAAATACATATTTGAACCATAAGCTTAGAAATAATCAGGTAAAATTATAAGTACAAAAGGTATTAATTCCATACTCATTTACCATTTTTATAATACTCAGAATGGCAAAAACAAACTGACGGCCTATCTGGTGCAAAGTGATAACCGTCGCCTATAAACGTGAACAGCACCATGGAGATCACAGGATGCATTGTGCTGTAGGCATTACAGCATAGTACCCCTCACGTATTGATTCTCCATACTTCCGTACTCTGTAATTTCATTTAATTCGTTATCGATTAGTAAATAATAGCCAAACAGTTGTCGGTAAATCACCGATGCTTTATTTATTTATTTAAATAACTTTATTGATAAAAGTAAATATAATATAAAGTTGTTGTCTTGTGATTGCATGTCTGCATTGTACTTTTTTTGCCAATTTTATAGTTTTATAATAATAAGAAACCTGTTATTAGCCTTAATATTTTAAATACTAGTA